AACAGTGTAAAAATGAGAAAAAAAATGTTGTTGTTAAGAGGAATACAGTTCAAATGAGTTAAAAGATAGGTCTAATCATCTCGGACACATCATTCATACTTTTTCCTGCAGCAACACTTTAATATATGGATATTTTCAACCACATTTAGGGGGCCTGTACAGGTTTTAATATTGACCAAATCAAATGTCTAACAAAATAAAAGTTTTGAACAACTTTCCTGTTCTATTGATGTCAGAGGACCTTTGAAAATAGATATCTCCCAACCATATACATATGTAGATAGAATTACATAAATAACAAAATCAATTAATTAAATAAATCCATATTATATAATTCTAATTAATCACAGTAAATTAAATTATCATCAGTATTTAAGTGTTAAATATTGTATAAATATTGTCATTGACATACATAACACTAAATTGTACAAAAAAAAAACATGTTAATTCTCAAATTTTGAAGATAAGAATGAATCAATAAAATAGTTTTTGCCTCAGCAATTGGTTTAAGTTAATTCTTTATTGTTAAAAATGAATATAGTCATTTGTAATTTTTATTTACATCTGAAATTATTAAGATGATTAATTACAATTCATAGGTAATGAAATGAGAGGAATTATATATATTTCTATTGTTAATATTATAAAAACAAATTTATTTTATGACTAAATGGAAATTTCAACACATTACCTATGCGACCATACTGTGCAGACAGATCAAACGGAGTAGCTCCATCTTTATTTTTAGCTAATAAATCTGGTTGAGCCTACAAAGAAATTCTATTATTAATAGTATTATTTTCATTATTACAGTACACATTAATATAGAAAACAAAAATTATCTTTCTCACTCAGAAAAGAATATTGACTTATTCAGTATATAGAATAAAATCAATAAGTTATAAAATAATTAATTTCAGAATATATTATTTTATTAGTGTTATAATTATATTTAATATTTAAGTTTATTATTAAAATTTAGTCATCTTACCCTCAATAATTTCAAAAGAATGAACTTAGTTCCTGGTATACAGTTTTGGCAAGCAATATGGACTGGTGTATTTCTATCATGGTTGAAAGTATCTACCTATAAATCAAGAAATTTTAACAGTCAATAAAAAATATACAATACAATAACATTTTATTTAACTGTTAGGATAAATCCTTGTAGAAGGGAAGATTCAGAGTTTAATTGAGTTTAACAATAATATGACAGGTAAAATATTTTAGATGGACTGGTTGAAGTGTTCCAGGATACTATGAAATGATAAGATATTGATTAAATCAAGGTTGCAGGATGCACAGTGCTGATCAAGAAGATAATTTTGGAGTTGAACCTCAATGAGTAGAGGTTTAGACAGAGTTATATTAGGACACATTTATGTGAGTGACTGAAATTAGTAAAGATGTATGATTGAGAGCAATATTCAGACAGACTTTGAATGTACCATGAATGATGTATACACTGCCGGCCCGAACAAACTCAGCGCCCTAGGCAAATGAATTTGACGTCGCCCCATTTTAAAAAATTGAAGACCGTTAATCATGATTTAATATGTAGCACACAATATTGCGATCGTGAGACTACGGCGCTACTTTCAAAATGGTCTTCATGTGTTGACCCATGAGACTCACGTGTCAACACATAAGAAAGGATTATGATCAAAATCATTTATTTTTTCATTATTTATTATAATTTATGCATGTACTTTTGCCATGCTGCCTCCCAAATTCAAGTGCCCTAGGCCATCACCTAGTTCACCTATATGAAAGGGCCAGCCCTAAATGTATATAAAGTGACAAAGTGATTCTGTCTTTAGTAGTTGACTGGGTTATGGTGTTATCGATGATTAGGAATGAATAGGGTTCCAGTAAGTCTAAGACTTTAATAAAATATCAAGAGTGATACTAAATTGTTTCAGTATGATGTTAATTAAAAAGTACCAATTGAGAGAATGAGGGTTGTTGATTTCAAAGATAAGATTTTTTAAAGTAGCAAGGTTCATGCTGCAAATGGAGTTTGAACTATTTTTTAATCTTTTAATGAAGTTAAGGATTTGTTTCAATAGGACTGATTAAAATATGGTCCTACGAAGTTTGATCCTTATAATGCACCTGGACACCAAGCAGTCAAGTTTGAATAGTTTGCAAATAAAAATGCATTGAATTTGCTCTGTTTCAAATGCAGGGAGAGTATATGAAAGAGAGCTGAAGGCACTACAATTGAATAGTCTAAAAATGACTTTAGGATCAAGTTTTTCATTTTTTTTGCAAAACAAAGAAGATATTAGGAATAATCATAGTACAATGGTTGATAATTTTCATAAGATGTTATTAAAAGCTAAATATACTGAAGATGTAGATGCCTAAATATTTAAATAAGGAACAATATCCAGGTTGATGGGACTTAAGAAAAATTAATCATTTTTCCTCACTCTAGGACCACTCCTGAAGATCCTGATTTTGATTTCATTATTGAAATTAAATTGTTTATTGTTTAATTATTAGAATAAATATATTTTTGACAATATCTCTTATAATAATAAAACAGAACAGATAGTCATTAAACTATTTCAAACAAAAATATGATTAGATACAAAAATAGATATGCACCTCATGATATAGATAAATGATGTCCATAAAGATACTAAGTTCTAAAAAAATTTTTGTAATCAAATTTTGATAAACCTTAAACTTAAATTGAGTTGAAAGAGTTTAACACTTAGAAAATGTAATGCCAGTAAATCTTTTTAAAAACAAAATTTCAGAAAATCAAATACCATTCAACTGAATATTGTAGGTGGAAATAATATATAAGAAATTGTGCCAAGAATATTGTTCTTTTCACAGTTTACCACTAACAATTATGATTCAATATAAGCTTTACATTCCTTACTCATCAATATTTAGAAAAAATATTTAATTAATAAAAAAATGTAAGGCTCAATTATTAATATTTTAACAGTTTTGGTTTTCTCATAATCATGGAATATTTGTAGTGATATTATTTATTTGTGCAACAAAATATATAAAAAAACTAAAAAGTCTCAAATTCTGCTTTATTGAAAAACAGAATCTCAGATATATATTTCTAAACTTTTATTTTTCAGTCTTTTGAAAAATGATAAAGAAATTTAAAAAGATACATTAATAAAATTCTATTTTCTAATAAAGCAGGATTTAAGCAATTTTTAAAAATTGGAGATTCCTTTAAGAACTAAAGGAAAAATTAATTTGGAATTTAAAATTTTCATTCATTTCTTGACTATATAATGTATTTTACTATATATATACATATATATATGTTTAATGATCGCTTCAGGTCTTTACTACTGGTAACATCTCTATTCAATTGATTTTAGACATGTTGAGACAAAANAGTTTACCACTAACAATTATGATTCAATATAAGCTTTACATTCCTTACTCATCAATATTTAGAAAAAATATTTAATTAATAAAAAAATGTAAGGCTCAATTATTAATATTTTAACAGTTTTGGTTTTCTCATAATCATGGAATATTTGTAGTGATATTATTTATTTGTGCAACAAAATATATAAAAAAACTAAAAAGTCTCAAATTCTGCTTTATTGAAAAACAGAATCTCAGATATATATTTCTAAACTTTTATTTTTCAGTCTTTTGAAAAATGATAAAGAAATTTAAAAAGATACATTAATAAAATTCTATTTTCTAATAAAGCAGGATTTAAGCAATTTTTAAAAATTGGAGATTCCTTTAAGAACTAAAGGAAAAATTAATTTGGAATTTAAAATTTTCATTCATTTCTTGACTATATAATGTATTTTATGTAAAAATATATTATATAAACAGAATAATTTACACACTTTACAGTAAAAGTGTGAAATAATACTTTCCATAAAACACTTTCTGAATAATATTAATATTTAAAATCAATTCAACAATAATAATTTTATTTTCATAATATTTGTCTTTGATATAAGAAAAATTGAGTTTTCTATTTTGTATTTTAATCTCTATAAATTCATGAAAGTGTATTTTTTTATACAATATTCAATAAAATGTTCTATATCATATTATTTATACAGGGTGTCCCAAAATAAGCTTCCGTACCTAGCAAAAATAAATGTTTTTATATGAAAACCCATTTTTATTTATATATGCTCTACATGACTACCATTGTGTTGAAAACACATTTCAATGCATGTCCTCCACGACTGAAGAACACATTCAAGCACAGTATGCTTGTAATGGTGTTGGTGATATGTTGTTTGAGATGATTTATGTTTTGTATCTTTTTCTGATACACCTTCATGACTATAAAATGCCCCAAAGGCAAAAATCAAGTGGGGTAAGGACTGCGGATCTGGAAGGCCACTCCACAGGACCATGCCGACCAATCCACGCACCTGGAAACTGCTGATCTAAAAATATGTATGGAAATAATACACACCTCAGAAAAACCTTTAACCGATGCGAAATAAGAATTAATAGTACAAACATTTTCAGACCCCTCCTGGGTCCTTCTTCAAGTAAAAACGAATATTAAATACGAATATTTTTCATATTTAATAACTTTTCAAACGATTTTTACCTGAAGAAGGACCCAGGAGGGGTCTGAAAACGTTTGTACTATTAATTCTTATTTCACATCGGTTAAAGGTTTTTCTGAGGTGTGTATTATTTAAGTTAAATCCGATGTGCAGGTGATAATTATTATGTATGGAAATTTATGGGACACCCTGCATTATTGAATAGAAAGCTAAAAAGAAGTTAATTTAAGTTATATATAAATTTTTCTAAAATTTATTAATATAAGTGGTTATTTCAAAAATTTAAAATAACTAGTGACTTTTTTATCCAAAGAATGCTTTACATTTTACTTTTCATGTTTGGATTGTAATCATTACAATTTTAGTTAGCTTATACAACAAAAATTTTTTTCTACTTAATTATTTGTGTTAATTATAAACAACAATCAACATTAAATTAGTTTTAAAATTTAAAATATTTACCCTCAAATATTCTTAATAAAACATCAATTTTCTCTGCTGGATAACTTGCCAAAATTGTTTTCACACTCTGAAAAACGATTCATTGTATATTTATTGAGATTACAGGAAAATAAAACAAAAATTATCCATGAAAAATAATAAGTTATGAAATTAATTGTACAAACATTTAAATGAAATTTTTAGATTTACAATTAATATTATAATAAATAATAACAAGTCAGTAATAGAATTAAACTTCCATACTATAAAGTTCTACATTATAAATTTCTCTGGAATATTGAAAATGTACAGTACCAGATGTATCTTGAAAGCAATTCTAATGTTGTTCTCAAAGAGAAATCATTCTTATATAAATATTTATAGTAGTTTATATTTTATGTATTTTTAAAAAAATGCATTTGTAATTTCTCTTTAATATCCAAACAGTTACATTTAGACATAATGAACTTCAGTGCATTAAACTCATTCTACAGGGGTCCACAACTCCAAGGGGTCTGTGAGCTTGGATTGGAAAAAATTCTCATTATCTTTTTTCTCTCTAACCTCTTACTGAAATCTAACATTTCCTACACTTATGAATGCATGCAATAAATGATAGTAGTATCAGCTATATATGTAGTCACCAATAAAAACAACAGCTATTTTTATATCATACTAGCAGATGAGCCTGGCATTGCTTGGGAAAAAGCATTGATAGCAAAGATTAAGATTATTAGACTATAGCTGATATTACTCATTTTATCGAGTGCAAGAATGTCCCTTCTCTTCTGAGACTAAGTAGAAAATTTTTAGATATCTGCTTACCACACCGGGATAATGATAATTAAGACTCACTGCAACCACTAACCAGTGCATAGTACCACTAAGTGATGAATAAACATTTTTGTAACTCTTTCTGGGTTTTTCCTCAGGTTTACTAAATTCTAAAAATAAGCTGGATCTTCCAGAATCATTCATAAATATAAATTCAAACATAAAATTGAACATTTTAAGATGAAGAGTTTGAATAAAGCAAACTTATGCGCATGCACTCTTCATGTCAACTTTATATATGAAATGCTCACATACACGTGCACCACCTATCATAGGATAAATGTACTATGCCAGAAACCTTTGCGGGAGTGTATTAAACAACTTCCCATGAAACTTTGGGATAAATGGAATCGGATAAATGGTGTAGTAATGCATGAAGGACAGACAGAGAGACATACATTCATTTTTATATATATAGATTATAGTTGCATTTCTCTAAAATTGACATGAAAATTGAACCGTGGATCCATAATCCTTTTCTTTCTGATATAAACTGTATTGCAGATGCTGACTTAACAAAAAATGAACTTATTGATCTTAGGACAAAAAACTTACTACAGTTGGAGTTTAACTCAAAATGCCTTGGAGAATTCTGGTGTTCCCTAAGAGAAGCCTATCCTTGTCTTGTAAAACAAGCTATGGAAACTTTGTTTTCATTTGCAATAATATATCTTTGAGAATCGGGATTTTCAATACTTGTAATAATAAAAACAAAAAGTTGAAATTGATTTGATGTCCAACATAACAATCATGTTGCCTTGTCAAATACCACACCACAGTTCGATGTTCTGATTAAATATAAACAACAACAATCTTCACACTGATATATCTTAAAAAAAATATAATTTAACTTTAGCTTTCCTACATTTTAAATATATTGTATTATTATTATTTAATATGTGAAGAAAGAATCATTATATTTTTTATTTTGGTTGCTATATTTCAATAAAACTAGATTCCTTTAAAGTTTATGTTTTGCATTTAAAAATATTTTTCTGAAAAAGGATCTGTGACCTTCACCTGACTGGCAAAGAGGTCCATAGAACAAAAAAGGTTAAGAACCCCTGCTCTATACTATTTATGATTAAACACTGTTTAACTGTGGTGTGTATTAAAGAATTTAAAGAAATATATTTAACATTGCTACTGTGTGGTACTCTTTACAATGGTGTCTGGCTGGCAATAGTTACAGAAATAAGTTAGTTACTAAATTGGTTAAGATACTATCAAAACAGAAACTAAAATTGTTTTATTCATTCAATTTTAATATCTATATAATAAACTTTTGAAACTTTATTAAATAGGGACCATTGTACATAAAAAAGAAACTGGTACATAGAATAAATTTAAGAATTGATAAAAGCTTCATATAAACAAAAAATTCAACTATTATATTTCCTGGTCTTAATTTATAATCTAACTACATTAATATAGTATTAAAATTTATTCATAGACATTAAAATTATATGAATAAGAAATGAATGCTTATCCATATAATTCAAAGATGATCATAAAAATACATGAAATTTTTTCTATGTATTTTCCCCAAATATTTTAAAAATCTATAAAGCACACTATTTGTCAAATTCATTTTTTAAATATTATTGTTAAATAAATTATTTATTGAAATTCTGTAAACCATTACCAAGAAAAATGATTAAAACATTATGTAATTTAAATATTATAATAAATATAAAATTTAAACATTGTGTAATGTAAAAATAATTTATCTATAAATAAATTTATTATAATTTAATCCTTTATTACACACTATATATATCTTTCTTACAATCATGACAAAGTTTAAATCATATTATACTGTATTTGAAATAGATTTTACCTCTTCTTTGCTGTTAAATTTTTCAGGATCTGCACCATGAGATATTAACAGTGTTACTACATCAATTCTATAAATAAAATTATTTTATTAAATATATCTGCTGTAGACTTTATAAATTATGTGACTTCATATAACTATATGTAATTACATTGGGATTATAATAATTATTAAAATTATGACTTAATATCTTTCTCTACTATTTAAAACTGGTACATATAAACCATAAAATAACATTCCTTTAATACTTTAAATCTCCAGCACAGTAATTTAATATCTTAAAGTCCAATTTAAGGTATCTAAGGTGTGTTATTTTATGGATGGACTTAAGTGGTTAAATGATTGACAATCAGTTCATATTATCATTAAATGATATAAAACTAAGTATTGATAGAAATATTAATAAGTAGCAATAATTCTTTCAATCTTTGACATTCTAATAAAGTATGAAAATATTAAATATTTATTATTGATGGTTAAAAAATGCTCATTTAGAAAGAATTCTAAATCAGAATAATCAAAATAAATATTTTAAATAATATAACAAATAAAATTAATTTGTAAAAGTCATTAATTATATATCAGAAGCAAAGTTATTCTTAAATGTAGTAAAATTAAAATTAAAATAACAAATAAATGTTATTTATAATGTTACAATTAATTTTCAGTAATTAAATTATTGTGTATATGCACTGTAGTGTGTTAAATAAAATGCATATTTCATACTACTGGTTTGGTCACTGAATATATAACATTTAGTGCCTTATCCAATAGTTTGTAATATATTGTACATCATTATTTCTTGAATATAAATATATTATTTTTTAAACTTAATTATTAAATAACTATATGTATAATTAAATGTAAATGTGTATATAAGATCTTTTCATGTTAGTATATGTATATTTTTACTTTTTGAAAAATATTTTCTTAATTTTTGAATATAAATTAGAAAAAATTATTTTATAATGCCATCATTTAAAAGATGAAAGTATATATTTTATGACCTCATAATTTTTTTGTAAATGATTTTATAATACTATTGGTATCTATACAATTTAAATTTGTTTTTAATGAATGTCTTGCTACTAAATCCAATTTTTATTTCATAACTTCATACATTTACAAAACAACGTCATTTATACCTTGTGGCCATATATATCTTAATTACAAAATTTTCTCTTAATTTTTCTGTAAACAAAGAAAAGCAAAGTTTACCTAAGAAACCTGCATGCTTCATGGAGTCCACAAGAATTGTGATATGGATCTTCTATATCAGGATCTATACCATAATCTAACATAAGACGAACAACATCTTTATGACCTCTGATACAGGAATCAATAAATGCTCTACTTGATGTACGAAATGCAGGTTCATGATCCAACAGCAAGGCAACTGCATCTGTAAAATTTAATTGATGAATTTACTCCATTATCTAATGCCAATCTTTATTTTGCAATAATTTCAAAATATAATTAAAAATTTCTGACTAATATTAATTAAGAACTAATATGTGAGGTCTGAATGCACCACTTTTTATTTCTGTTTTATTTCTTGTTTATTGTTGTAGAAAGATTAAACAAAGAGAATATTGTTAATGTTACACTGTTAGAAATATTTTACATTTCTAACAGTGTAAAAATGAGAAAAAAAATGTTGTTGTTAAGAGGAATACAGTTCAAATGAGTTAAAAGATAGGTCTAATCATCTCGGACACATCATTCATACTTTTTCCTGCAGCAACACTTTAATATATGGATATTTTCAACCACATTTAGGGGGCCTGTACAGGTTTTAATATTGACCAAATCAAATGTCTAACAAAATAAAAGTTTTGAACAACTTTCCTGTTCTATTGATGTCAGAGGACCTTTGAAAATAGATATCTCCCAACCATATACATATGTAGATAGAATTACATAAATAACAAAATCAATTAATTAAATAAATCCATATTATATAATTCTAATTAATCACAGTAAATTAAATTATCATCAGTATTTAAGTGTTAAATATTGTATAAATATTGTCATTGACATACATAACACTAAATTGTACAAAAAAAAAACATGTTAATTCTCAAATTTTGAAGATAAGAATGAATCAATAAAATAGTTTTTGCCTCAGCAATTGGTTTAAGTTAATTCTTTATTGTTAAAAATGAATATAGTCATTTGTAATTTTTATTTACATCTGAAATTATTAAGATGATTAATTACAATTCATAGGTAATGAAATGAGAGGAATTATATATATTTCTATTGTTAATATTATAAAAACAAATTTATTTTATGACTAAATGGAAATTTCAACACATTACCTATGCGACCATACTGTGCAGACAGATCAAACGGAGTAGCTCCATCTTTATTTTTAGCTAATAAATCTGGTTGAGCCTACAAAGAAATTCTATTATTAATAGTATTATTTTCATTATTACAGTACACATTAATATAGAAAACAAAAATTATCTTTCTCACTCAGAAAAGAATATTGACTTATTCAGTATATAGAATAAAATCAATAAGTTATAAAATAATTAATTTCAGAATATATTATTTTATTAGTGTTATAATTATATTTAATATTTAAGTTTATTATTAAAATTTAGTCATCTTACCCTCAATAATTTCAAAAGAATGAACTTAGTTCCTGGTATACAGTTTTGGCAAGCAATATGGACTGGTGTATTTCTATCATGGTTGAAAGTATCTACCTATAAATCAAGAAATTTTAACAGTCAATAAAAAATATACAATACAATAACATTTTATTTAACTGTTAGGATAAATCCTTGTAGAAGGGAAGATTCAGAGTTTAATTGAGTTTAACAATAATATGACAGGTAAAATATTTTAGATGGACTGGTTGAAGTGTTCCAGGATACTATGAAATGATAAGATATTGATTAAATCAAGGTTGCAGGATGCACAGTGCTGATCAAGAAGATAATTTTGGAGTTGAACCTCAATGAGTAGAGGTTTAGACAGAGTTATATTAGGACACATTTATGTGAGTGACTGAAATTAGTAAAGATGTATGATTGAGAGCAATATTCAGACAGACTTTGAATGTACCATGAATGATGTATACACTGCCGGCCCGAACAAACTCAGCGCCCTAGGCAAATGAATTTGACGTCGCCCCATTTTAAAAAATTGAAGACCGTTAATCATGATTTAATATGTAGCACACAATATTGCGATCGTGAGACTACGGCGCTACTTTCAAAATGGTCTTCATGTGTTGACCCATGAGACTCACGTGTCAACACATAAGAAAGGATTATGATCAAAATCATTTATTTTTTCATTATTTATTATAATTTATGCATGTACTTTTGCCATGCTGCCTCCCAAATTCAAGTGCCCTAGGCCATCACCTAGTTCACCTATATGAAAGGGCCAGCCCTAAATGTATATAAAGTGACAAAGTGATTCTGTCTTTAGTAGTTGACTGGGTTATGGTGTTATCGATGATTAGGAATGAATAGGGTTCCAGTAAGTCTAAGACTTTAATAAAATATCAAGAGTGATACTAAATTGTTTCAGTATGATGTTAATTAAAAAGTACCAATTGAGAGAATGAGGGTTGTTGATTTCAAAGATAAGATTTTTTAAAGTAGCAAGGTTCATGCTGCAAATGGAGTTTGAACTATTTTTTAATCTTTTAATGAAGTTAAGGATTTGTTTCAATAGGACTGATTAAAATATGGTCCTACGAAGTTTGATCCTTATAATGCACCTGGACACCAAGCAGTCAAGTTTGAATAGTTTGCAAATAAAAATGCATTGAATTTGCTCTGTTTCAAATGCAGGGAGAGTATATGAAAGAGAGCTGAAGGCACTACAATTGAATAGTCTAAAAATGACTTTAGGATCAAGTTTTTCATTTTTTTTGCAAAACAAAGAAGATATTAGGAATAATCATAGTACAATGGTTGATAATTTTCATAAGATGTTATTAAAAGCTAAATATACTGAAGATGTAGATGCCTAAATATTTAAATAAGGAACAATATCCAGGTTGATGGGACTTAAGAAAAATTAATCATTTTTCCTCACTCTAGGACCACTCCTGAAGATCCTGATTTTGATTTCATTATTGAAATTAAATTGTTTATTGTTTAATTATTAGAATAAATATATTTTTGACAATATCTCTTATAATAATAAAACAGAACAGATAGTCATTAAACTATTTCAAACAAAAATATGATTAGATACAAAAATAGATATGCCTAATAGTATTTGTTATTGTTGATACATGATATTATGTTATCATTAAAACAATACCAGATAAAAATAAAATCTAACTAAAAATATAAAAATATTGTTTAAATAAAATTTTTGTATTCTAACGGATATGCATAAAATTGCAAGTTTAGAATTCTAAAATCATGTCTCAATTTCTGTTTGAACTGGATTTTTAAAATTTTTAAATATGTAAATGATTTTCCATAAAATCTATTTACTATTTCATAAAGCAAGTATACAAGATACTTTGATATTATACAAATGCTTTATTCAAAAACTACAAAGTAAAATAAATATAGAGAAAATAAAAAAGTAATAATTAAAAATACATACAATGGGTGATTGGTTAACGAACAAATCAGATAACAAACACTTTCGCGAAAGTTTTTATGTTTGGACAACGAACACATGATCGGATAATGAACACCTCACAGAACAAACACAGAAGAAGCAACATAAAATAATGAATACCGATTGGTCTTTCCTTGTCTTTGAGCAACAATTCGAAACTTTTCGGAGTGCGGGAGACATCAACATTGACGCTCAACCCGATACATACCGACCGGATAGTATTCCTCCAAACTTTGAAATTCTCCCTTGAAATTCCAGCCTTTTATTTTTCTGACAAAAACAATTCTTTTATGTATTTGCGAGACTGTCAGGTAGGCACTCATTAAGTTTTGCATCTGTTTTTCTTTTCGAAAGGTGAGAGTGGGCAGAAGATGCCTAATGTTGCTGGCAGTATGGAATGAACAGGTCTACAGTAGGCTGAAGTTCAATCTTATTTAAGAAAGATACTGTATAATCAAGAAGATTCAAGCTGCTAAAGGAGTAACAAAAATCACATCTGAGAAATAAAGAACATCAAAGAGTTCATAATGGAACCTAAAACGAATCTGATGACAGAATAACGCGAAGAAATTTGGCAAGATATGTTTTCTTCTGAAAAAGAGGATTAATGACAATATCTGCTATTAAAGATCTTTTGAAGAAGTGGGAGGATATCAGAACAACAGTCTTAGAATGGCATCCAAACCAAGTTGAGTCTTGGGGATTTCTACAATTACAATGCTATTAATTACTTCTGAAAAATCCTGAAGAAGAGAGAAAAGCAATCGACATTAGACAGATTCTTTAATCCTTTCAAACAGAAAAAACATGACTAATAAAAATGCAAGACTGTATATGTACGTATTTTTATTATTACATATGAATAAACGTAGTAAGAAAGTATATAATTTTTATTTTTGGGGGTCTCCAGGATGAATTAATTAAATTCCCATTAAAACCTATGGTAAATTAATAATCGGTTAACAAACAATTTGGATAGCAAACAAAGTCTTGGAACGGATTATGTTCGTTAATCGACCATCCACTGTATTCTAAAAATTAACCAATCATTCTTATATTATATTATAATAAATTCTGCACATTTTAAATTAGTAATACTCACTTCAGCTCCACATTGAAGCAGCAATTCAATCATATCAGATCTCCCATTGAAAGTTGCTACATGTAATGCAGTGTTTCTTAAATAAACAAAAAAACAGGAATATTGAAAAATAAATATTTGCATTTTTTAAATCATATGAATAAAAAAATATAAGTACAGTATATACAAAAAGAAATAAGCATTTTTGAAATATTACAAGCAATTAGAGAGTATAAACTTAAATATACATAAGTAAACAAAGATCATTTTGTACTCCATCACTTCCTATAAGTAAGAACTATTGTTTTTAAAATATACTTAAACTTTTAACCATTTATACTCTTAATCTGTAGAAGTAAAACAATGAAGAAAACATAATATTTTATTAAAAAAATACATGAAGGGTCTATTAATTCTTTTAACATATTAACAATCATTAAATGTTAAATTTTATATTTCTTTATCTAGTCCAGATTATAATTATAATGAACAAATTTTTTTCTTACCCTTTGTTATCTCTAGCATTGACATCTGCATTAAAGTGAATAAGGAGCATAGCAAGTTCTCGATTACCTAAAATTAAAAAAGTGTAAATATATATATACATATTTTACAAAATTCTATGCATGTTTATAATCCATTGAAATATTACTGTCATTTAAATATGCAAAATATTCACAAATATATTGAATATTTGCTGGTATTATGATAATAAACAAATACATATGCAGATTTTGTACATAATGTACTGTACATATGCAGATTTTGATACGATAGTATTTAAAACATTTAAGTCTATGTGTTTCTTTACTATATTCAGAATTTGAATATGGATTTCTATGCATTTGGAGCTAGAACTATTTAAAATGACTAAGACACCTTTGTTTTTGTTTTTGCCGAAAACATTTGTGGGCAAACAAATGTTTTCGGCCTTCTTCAGGCACACTATGGTCTGTACCTAAAGAAGGCCTATTAAGAAGGCCAAAAACGTTTGTAATCAGTGTTTAAACTGCTAGAAACAAAGTGAGAAAGGTTTTGTCTTAGTCATTTGAATATGGATTAATTCCATAAAGTTTATCTATTATTCTGTAAATTCTCTCATTTCCTCACAGAATTGACTGCAATATGTGAATGCCTAGAATTCTCCTTATTTAAAGATGTATTAAAATGCAATAAAAATATAAAACATTTATACAAGAAAAAAAATTACTTCCATCAGATGAGATTAAGATTCAATCTCAATGCAACATATTAATGAAATGTCAGATAATTAAAGTAACTCCAGTATACTACATTCTATTTAAATATTTCTTGTGCTTGGTAGATATTCTATTGATATATACTGTATTTCCTCAAATAAACTCTAGTGATTTATTTTTAAAACCTATGTATTCATTGCGATTTTTGAGGCCATGGTTTATCATTTTATAATAAAAAATGAATAAGTAAAAATTGAAAGAAATATCTTAATTTACAGTTATTACTGCAACATTTAAAATTACTATTTTCATAGTTAACTCAATTCAGCATCTTCTGATTTGGTTGTCATATTATAATTTGTGTTTATTTTGATGATGTCAGAATCAGGATCTTGACTACAAACTTCTGGTTCTAACTCATCATCAACTCAGTCAGATGGATCGAATCTAAGAAAGTTACCTCCTAGATTCAATTCTGGGTCTCCAGAGCAATAGGCTGACATTTTAACTCATCCATCTGACTTAGTGAAAAAATATGCAGGAATTTTTCAGTTGTGGTTTGTCCCAGATATGTTGAGCTCGTGACTAAACCTGCAATGGGCTTAAAAAAAGATGTTATACTCACAGAGCAAAAGAAACAAAAAAAGAAAAAATTGTCACTTTAAATTGCATTGTCCTATAAGTTCAATACTTTAACATGTTTTACAAAGTTTATTTTTAATAGATTCTTTATTCCCAGGGGCTTATTCAAAGTTTGGGGTTTATTTGAATAATAGGGTTTTTATCAAGGAAATACGGTATATATTTTTTTTACAATAGATTATTATTTTTTACTTTTTTATAGTCTTTAAAATACTTTTGAGTTCTTAAATAGTGATATTTATAACCTTTTGCAATCTTTTATAGTATATGCATGAAAACAATCTCAAAATAATTAAGAGAGAAATGTTTAAGAATAATGTCATTAATTTTAAATTTCATTTTTATAATACCTTGCATGTAAATATTACATAATATTGATATAAATGTTTTGTTTATAATTAAATATAAGTTAACACAGTTGAAGAAGAATTAGAGACCGAGCCAAAATTTTGATAGTGGATTTCTCATGAAAAAAATTCCTTTTATATATACATGTTACTGTGAAAGACCGAAATTAGAAAATGTCGATATTCTCTGGTAAATGTCAACACACAAAATATGTCAGTGAAAGACCGATATCTGGCAAATGTCGAGATTCTCCAGTGAATGTCAGCATTCACACAGTCATCTTGTGTATGTATGAAATATTTGCTAAATATCATTATTTCTCACTTACACCAGCAAATGTCAGTCATACTAAATACGGAACCTGTTACCGGTGTAATTTTGCGTGAAAAAATCTTCCTTTCACAAACGTTTGAGCTGTCGAGATAGTTCTTCTTCAGGTAGAGAAAAAATTCCGACGGAACACTTCAAAAAATGGAATGTAGATATTTAAATAAAAACCGAATCTAAAATATTTTAGATTCCATTCTGTATTTAGTATTTCATCCCTGGTGTCAGAGTGAAGTGAATTTACTTAAATGTCATTCAGCATGCACTGATGGTGAATGTTAAATAAAAGTATTTTTATTATGTTAAGACAAAAATGCAACTTTTTAATATGTCAAAATAGGAGAAAGCTTAAGTAACAGTGCATGTAAATAAACTGTTAAATAAACCTAAAACGAACAGCACATTCTTAATCAGAAAAGAAAGATAATATGCAATAGTAAACTTACACATATATTATGTGATTAACGTTATACAATCTTATTTATTGCAACAACTTAAACTGTTATGACACTTTGAATTTCACAAAAGTCCCTTGCTTTTACAACTGCATTTATTTGTGGAAAACTTTGTTTTGCACAAATATTTCTTGAGAAGAAATCTCATCTATGGAAAGTAACTTTTCTTTAGAAATTATGAACTGATTGCATGTATAAAGCTGCTTGAGGGTACCTTTTTTGTTTGCTAATTTATAAAAGTCTGAGTCTTCTATTCCAAGAACAACTGCCAACACATTTTGGGCATCTGTACGGCTGAGGTCGACATCATGGACTTGTATTCATACGGTATCACCAATTTGAGCAGGAGGAAATTTTCTTTTTGAGGTTTGTAACATTTTTGTTGCTTGCAATAGAAGATTCGCTTTTGTGGCCGGTTTTTTTATAGAAATAACTTTGTGTTGTTCAGTCAGGGCTTGAAATGAAGATGTGATAGGTTGCAGCTCCTCTTTAATATTTTCATTTGGAATATGGTATTCGTTATGGGTACTGCTCGTATTTTCTTCAAAAGTGTTAACAATTTCTTTGAGCTTTTCTTCAGTTTCAATATTTGCGATTTGTTCGCCAGACAAAGATGACAATGCTATGCCTCTTTTTGGTTTAAACGCCAAACATGGCTTCGTAAGGACTTTGGCGTATTCCTTCATGATATGTAGTGTTCTTGGCAAATTGTACAAAGGGCAAACCATCTGACCATCTATTTGTATCATTATCATTCATCCATGCAGTTAACATATTCTGTATATCCTGATTGGCCCTTTCAACTGAGTCTTGTGTTTGACTACAACAAGGCTTTCCATGAACTATCTTCACATCTTTCCACAGAGCGCTTAGTTCGGATATGACTTCATTACAGAATTCCCTACCATTACCTGAATGCAATATAGCTGAGGCACCAAATGTTAAAAATATTTGAAGAAGGTGATACGCTACTTCGTCAGCTGTCTTAGTTTTCAAAGGTCGTAGCTGGACAAATTTCGTTAAATGATCTTGATATACCATTATGAACTTATATTTGCCATCCCTCTGTGACTGCAGGTCTATTAGATCGACTTGACATCTGAGTTTAACTCCGAACTGACCATTGGTTTCGCAACAATACCTTTTTTAGGTGCACTGTGTTTCATTTGACATTGTTTACATAAATTTAAATACAACATTACAACTTCATATGTAATATTTTTGTATTTAAGTTGCAATTCTTTAAGCATACGTGTTCTTCCTCCGTGGCCTGTTCTGCTGTGAGTTTCAGATAGTATACTGAACAATTCATCATTGGTAACATAATACTGTATATTCGTTTCTCCTGGTTTTAATGGTACAATTCTTTAATTTTTAAAACGTCAAAACGTTTTAATCGTCTGTAATCCAAAGGTGTACTGCACTTAGTTTTAGCAGAAATCACTTCAGAAAGTATTTTAGAGTACTTTTCTTGAGAAAAATAAAAACAATTGTCTTCTCGTTTACTCGCAATTAATGCACATAACTTATAAAAAAAAGTTCTTGATTCACTGCAGTATCCATTCAATATAAATTAGGATATCGGATAAAAAAAAAAAAAATTTAAGAAAATGTTGCACGCACCAACAAACTTTGCATAATACTAACAAGCTGCAGTGTTGGAGAGTATAACAAATAGATATCACGTGATTTCAATCGCGGCAGAACAAAGGTGTGAGATCCGAATCGAGTGTAAAAAAAATTTTTCCCTTCCCTCATAAACTTTCGACATATCTTAACTAAATTCATCACCCAACCGTTAAAAATAACATCGCCGGAAAGGAAGATCAAATATCTCATCAACAGCTATAAAAATTTATAATATTACACGACATAAGTTTACAATTGCCTTCTATTTCTTCACTTTATTATGGTCCCGGGCAGGAACGCCTTTTAACCCTACATATGCTAAAATAACCTTTACTTCTGACCATCACCTGACTAACTTTCCCAGGCCGAACCTATATAAGACCGATTCCTCCCCCTCTGGGGAGTCTCTCACCAACATGCTGACAAGAGATAAGCCAGAATTTATTAAGGTTCCGTAACATCGAACTTTGCTTTGTTAAGTGCTATTCGGACATTTTAGTCGTAAACTTATAAATTTGTGCCTGGACAAAAAGGAAAGGACATTTGATCCTCCGTGAGAATAATCAAGAGGTATATCAAGCGTGTAAACTCTCGGCCCCTTTACTTTGTAATCAAGAGATAGTTAAATCTCGAATGTTATTCGATTTTCATTATTGTAAATGTTTCTTTATTTCGTTATCCAATAAATTTTTGCCATTTTATCTGTTAATGGTGTCTTTTATTCGGATATCGCCGACGATCCCTCTCACCTTCCGCCACGCGACCTGACAAACCGATCCCACCTCACGGGATCAAAAGAACAAAAACGCCATCTAGTGACAAAGTGGGCGGTTTCCAATAAACCGTTGCCGGGAAAAGAGGTACGACCTCGTCCTACCAGCAAAGTATTTGGCGACAGACTGTCGCCTCTCTGTCGACATCGGCTTCTCGGGTGTCGTTTCGACCTCCACCGAAGCTTATCTGTGCTGGTCGA